TAGGTATTTAGATATTATATCATCATAAGAAATTTTTCTTTTTTTTAGTTCTGCTATTAAATGATCACAAATAATGTAAATGGTATTAATTTTGAAATTTTCGGATATTTTCGAATAATTATTGTGTTTTGATTTTTTTTATCGATAATAATAGTAGTGTAAATTGTCAATAATCGGCAGTCGTAGACTCGTAGCTCCTTATATCATGGCAAAACCACAACTGTATATTTCCTATTTTTAGTAGGTATGTATTTTTCATAGTCTACGATTCGTAGAACTAAATACGAATCATATGTTTACTGTTTACAACATCAATATGCCCAAAGCATTTTATTGACATTCGAGTTGATAACGAATTACCTATAACTTTATTAGGTACATTCTACATTCAAAATCTATTTTGGTATAATTATATTATTATAATTATTTTTTATTATACTAATTTTATTTTATATTTTCGTATTATACTCATTAGGAAAATAAGCTACAAATAAATTTTATATTTTTGATCATTTCAATATTTTGCCGCCTCTCAACCTAATTTTAATATTGCCGCCAGGGGCAATTGCCCCTCCGAGCCCTCCCTTAAATACGGGCCTGGGTTTAACATTAAAAATTAAAATGTTTCGATTTCTTATGAAACTTGATTGTAGAAACTAGGAACACTATCTGTGTTCACACCCCACTCCGCACAGACCACCATTGGTTAGTCACTGATTTTTGTATGTTATGTGTTAGTAAGACAGAGAAAAGACATACGATTACGACGTCCTCTTAAATACTTGTTTACAATTTTTTTAAACTTAAAATTTAAAGGTGAAACCAACATATTTTATTTTATTGCAATCGTTATTTCATTATTTGAAATCGAAATCAAAATCGAAAATAAATAAAACCGGTATTCAAAGTCATAACGGAAAACATAATTTCTCGAAATCGTTATTTGAAATGGAAATCAAAATCGAAAATGTATAAAATCGGTATGCAAAATCAAAACGGAAAACATAATTTCTTGATATCGTTATTTGAAGTGGAAATCAAAATCAAAAATATTTAAACCGGTGTGCAAAGTTAAAACGGATAAACGTAATTTATCAAAAACGTTATTTCAAATTTAAATCAATACAATAAGTATACAAAACCGGTATGCAAAATATTAATTGAAACCACAATTTTTTAAAACCGTTATCTGAAATCAAAATCGAAATCGGTAAAACTAAATACCGGTAACCGAAACCGAAATTGAAATCCAAAAATTTTTTTTCGGTTTCAAGCCCTGGTAATTTGTAGCACACAGAGCAACAGAGCTGAAACTATGATATAACAGTATTGTTGTTGTTGGCTTTATCACTATGTTTTCCCATTTTATTTTTAGCCATTGAGTTATTAAGCCATTAGTTCCAGATATGAGATACGATGTAGATAATATTTTTTTCCCAAATCGGGCCTCCAAATCTCCAATGATATAATATTATTATTTATTAGCGTATAGAACATATACATATAGTACCAATATAAGGTTCGTATTTCCTAGTATTTTTTTCAGATATCAAAATAATATACCTATTTTTGTGAAATTTTGAATCGAATGACGAATATAGAAATAACCAATGGGCAATTATAGTGTAGGTATTGTATGTTGGGATGGGGCCCCCTTCGGACCCGAGGCCCGTGGCGTTTGCCCACCTTGCCCACCCGGTATTTACGCCACTGACCACTACCTTGTACAAAAACTTTACGTAACTATTTGTTGGCCATTAAGATAGGTTGTGGATTTGATCCAGATTTTTTTAAATTATTAAAAAAAAGTTTGCAAATAAAACAGAGTTCCAAAGGAAAATGATTCTTGTATTTGATGAAATTTTCCTAAGAGAAAGTATCTCAATACAAGAACATTGACCTACATTGGCTTGGAAGACTTTGGAGAAGGATTTGAAACCAGACCAACCGAAAAAGCTAATCATGCTCTGGTTTTGATGGTGCAAAGTTTAGCAGATAATATTCATCAGCCTATTGCAGTATTTGCTTCCAAGGGACCTGTAAAAGGTAATTTTAAGTTGTAATTACACAAGAAAATGTATATTAGGTATAGTAATATTTGTTACAGGAATTGATTTAGCTAAAATTATTTTAAAAGCCATTTTATTATTGGAAAATTCTGGTATTCAAGTAATTGGCATCACTGGCGATGGTGCCTCTACAAATCGCACAATGTGGAGTGCACTAGGTATAAGTGCCAAACAGAAAAGTCTTAAAAATTCATTTGAAAATCCGTTTGATACAACCGAAAAGTTTTTGTTTTTTCGGATGCTCCACACTTGCTAAAAACTGTTAGAAACAGATTATACACAAAAAAAACATTAAAAGTAAATTAATAAGATTATATTAAATTTCAATAAGTATGAAAACATAAACTTGTATATTATATTATAACTATATTTTTTTCTTCTTTAGATTCATCCTAACAAATCTTTAATAAAATGGAATATATATCAAAATGTTTATTTTCATGATTCAAAAAATTTAACAAAAGTTTGCCCTAAAATCACAATAAACCATTTAGAACTAAATAATTTGTCAAAGGTGAAAGTAAAATATGCTTCACAGGTATATTTTTTTAATGTTTTTACATTACACATATTAAACATTTTTTATTTTTTTTTTTAGATATTTAGTTCATCAATGGCTGCTGGAATTAAATTATACCGAAGTAAAAACTATAAGGGTTTTGAAGACTGTGAAGAGACCATCAAATTTACTCTAATGATGAATAGTTTATTTGATGCGTTAAATAGAAAATTTTCAGGCGAAGGAATTAAAAAAAATAGTTCTGATTTAGAGGTTTTGTGGCATATATGTAGGATTTTTAGGTTGTATGTCAATGGTTACAATATGTGTTTGTATTTGTAAGACTAAAAACAGGGAAGTATCATTAAACTGTATTTATTTAACCCAATATTAATTGTATATTAACTTTATGTGTTTATTTTCTTATTCTAACTTAATTTTATGTTTAAGGTACGATTAATAGTAATCCATAACTTAACAATTAGAACTATACTTATATCATGTAACTAATAATTGTATTATTTGTTTAGATGATTATTATTCACAACATACTTGAAGGCAGTATCTTGAAAATATTTTTCATATGTCACAATAGGTATGAGTGTATGACTATTAATTTGTATTTGTTTAGGTATTGAAAAATGCATTGGTTTGGTTAGACAATTGGGAATCAAATGTTACTAAAAATTTCATATCAGAAGAAAAGTTTTTAACTAAAAACACAGCAGAAGGGCTTAGAATAATACTATACAATCTTCAATTGACATAATTAACTACTTACACATGTGTGGATTTGATTATGTACTAACATCTAAAATTAATCAGGATTGTGTTGAAGTAAGTACTTTACACAGTAATTACCAATTTGAAATTAATAAAAATTATTTTATTTTATTTTACAATTCCCAGACATTTTTTGGAATAATAAGGCAAGTGGTAGGACCTAACGATCATCCATCAACACCCATATTCTTGCAATTGTACAGAATGCTATCTGTTTATTCTCTGATAAAACCTCCAAAAACAGGGAATTGCACTATCTTAGAAGGTATTTATGAATTTTCATTAAAAATGTATTTTAATTAGGAATTTTATTAAATAAAAATACAAACAATATATTTTTAGATAATATTCCTGTTATTTCTTTTGGAAATTTGAAAAATATTACAGAAGAACAAAATGAAACATCCATAAGAGAAGATAAAATATGCAAGTTCAAACATAAAATTAATTTTATTGTTAAAGATGGGCACTATGATTTTGATGATAGGTATTTTTAAAGACCATAATTATTGCAATACAAATTCCGCAGTATTTGAATGTATAGTGTACTTCTTGACAGGGTGAATACAACAGTTTATATTTATGTATAGTAATTTAAGCAGTACACATTTTAAATTATGTTAGGGGAACAAATTTTTTTATAATGTTCAATTTACTATTCTTTGTTATCAGGTACATAGTAAAACGAATGAAAAAAACCATTAAATGTGAAACCTGTTTGAACTGTTTAAGCACAGAATATGGACAGGTTTCACATCCAGCTGCAGATTTTGTAAATATAAAAACAAGAGGTTATTTAACACACCCCAATCATCACGTTTACTTAATTATAAAATCGTTCGAATTGTGTTTTGAGAAATATGCAGATTCTCCAACAGTATTTGAAGATACACAGGATGATTTGCTGCAGAATAATATTTCTTTTCTAAAATGGAATTGTAATGACCACAAAAGTGAAATACTAACAAATATGTTTGTTATGTATATAACGATGAGAATGCGTCAATACACTTATTCAAAAAATATTGAAGCCAATCAATTGAATAAAACTAAAAAAAAGTTATCAAAATTGGTTACTTCTTATATCTAAATTTCAAATGAATATAATATGTTTAAGTATACCTACCTACTATAGTTTACCGATAATTATTATTTATTATATTTTAGATTATTATTATAATTAATAAATACAAATACTGGAACGAGAACTATAAACTTTAATATTTATTTATTGCATACCTATTCATATAGAATTCATAGGCAAACATAAATATTGTTGTATTACTCAACGGCGTATTTACGGGGGGGATTTGGGGGATCAATCACGCCACTGGTATTACTATATTTTACTTCTGTATAATTGAAGAACAAGAAATATGTTAAAAAATAGAAATACAGAAACAGAATATTAGAATAATATTGTATTAATGTAGTCATACAATTTATCACCCAGAGAGCGCTGTGTGCTGGTGTAAAAGCAAATACACGTTTTGAGCTTCTCATTTTCACGGTCCGTTCCGCAACCATATTATCTTTAATCGTGGTGTACACCACGGTTAAAGATATACAGGTTAGCTATCGCTGGCCCGCCACTCGGTCAGATTGTGTTACCATTCAGTAGTTCATATTTTCACCACACGCGTAAGGCGCTAGTAGTAAGTAGGGTCATATTTTACTATTGGTAATATTAGTACATCGTAGTATCGGTACATTTCTAGTTGCTACATAATAGAATATTAGAATTTATATGATCATACATTTAATATAACTTATAATTAAAAAATATATTTATTCCAATATTAATATTACTCGGGGATGGTACTGGAGAAAATAAAAAATATTCAATCATCTTCAAAACATTTTAAATAATCCTTAGGCCCAGCTAATAATTACATAAGTTATTATTAATATTTTGTTTATGATATTAAAAAGCTATAATTGAGTATGTGGTCTACCTACCTTATATAACTAAAATTATGTTATCGTGCATCCATTTTATACGAAATGTTCTTCTTAAGCCTTTACAAAATGAACATTTATTTTTAATAGATGATTTATCAATTAAATAAGGACATTTTTTATGTTGCCAATGGTTTTTAAAAATTATATCTGCACATTCAACTGATATACCTTCAAATTCATGAACTAAAGGCCCACCTGAACATATTTTTTTAGAACTTAAAATAATCATAATTGAAATCAAATCATCCAAAAAAGAAATATTTGAATTTCCATACAAATCTTGTAGGTTTATATTCTTTTCATATATATTACATTTCAAAATCATGTCTGAATCTAAAAAAATCTGTTTTTCAATGCTAATTCCAGCTTCATTGTTATTACATTGTATTGTATACAATACAATATATGGTTTATTTCCTCTATGTATCTCATATTTCCAATTATCTGGAAGTGTGATTGACTCAAGATCACAACATATTTTCTCAAACTTTTGTTCAGTGGACAAGACTGAAGATTCTTCAGAAAATTCTGGATCAATATCATTATTACAATGATGTTCAGAAATTTTAGATTCAGCCTATAAAAAAAAAATATTTACAATACTTATGTATAATATATAATGTATACTAGGTAAACCTATATAAAATAACTCCAAAATTAATTATAAAATTGATATACAACATTTAAATATTTAATACATAATATTTATGTATAATTATATACAATATTCATGTAATATTTATATATTGTACCTAATTAATTAATATTTTTAGTAAAATTGTAAAATTTACCTCTACTACTTTAATGTTTTTAGAAGAGATTAATGAACTATCTCGCTTTCTAGAAGACTTTCTTTTAGTTTGTGGATTAGATAAATATTTTGGGCCAGGAAATATGCATGGGATAGCATCTTCTTTTAGTTTTGGATACTTTAAATTTATCTGAAAAACATTGGTCATTTAAATAAATAGTTAATCAGATAAATAAAATAGTCTAAAATAAATGAGTAATAAAAAAAAAATTAAGAATTATTCAGTTTTAATTTTAAAATGTAATTTATCTAGATACTTACACACACTTGTTTATCACCAACCCCTGAAGTCCATGTTCTAATAATTTGTTCATCAGTAAAATGACTGGCACAAACTACTGAATTTTTAGTAACAATCAAATCTTTTCGGGGTATTTTATTTATCCACTTTTTCTTTAAATTTTCATCCGTAGGAAAAGAAAAAGTAGATACCTTAATTGTACTATGGTTAAACTTATATCCAGTTTTGCAACCGACTACACAACATGAACGAGGCATAATCCACTATAATAAAATACTGGACCATTATAATTTATAAAAAGAATTAAGTAAATTCAGTGTTGTGAAATATTTGAGTAAAAGTATTCAAATATTTTTTTAATAATTTAATAAATATTTGAAAACATTTTAAATACTATTTCATTGTATTGAATACTACTTACTAATTATAACTATAATTTACTAGGTAGTTGATATTAAAAAAATACTGTAAACTTTGTCTCAAATACGATTTAAAAGTAATACTTAAATGAATTACAAAAAAGATTTTGTTAGTAATTTTACGTATTTGAATACTATTTTTTAAGATATTTTACAACACTTTTATTTTAAGTAATATTGCAACGACAAATTCAAAATTACATACCTGAATAAAGAAAAGCAGTATAATGCACCAGAAAAGTGAAAACTTTAAACTTTAAATAAGGCCGTGATTTAAACTTTACTGTTGTCCGTTATAACTTAAATACTTGATGTAATAAATTAAATTATCACTATTATAGTCTATAATCTATAACCCTACATGCAGTGATGTGATATGGAGGGAAATTTCCCGCTTGGGGGGAAATTTGATCTCAAAAATCGCATGATGGGAAAAAGGGAAGAAAAATGAAAAAATAGAATAAAAAGGGAAATTTTGGAAAATTGTTTTATGAAAAAACCTTACCTAAAATGAGGACATTATTACCATTGGAATAAGTTGACATTGGATTCTTGGAGTAAATTGTAAATTGTAATACAATTAAATAATTCGCCTGTTCAGCCGCTGTACTGAACTCATAAGTCATAGATGTTGTAGTTATAACTTAATTTATTCTATTCTGTATTTTTGTATTTCTGTAGTAAAATTAATTACAATTTAAAATAGTTATAATTAATAAATAATTTGGATTTTGATGAAATATAATGGACAGTGATGATGATATATACAAAACACCACCAAAAAAACAAAAACCAACAAAAAAAACCTTCATAACTGAATGGTTGGAGTGTTCCGAATTTAAGGGATGGCTAGCTCCAGTTCAAAATGACAATTCTAAAGCCAGGTGTAAAGCATGTCAGGTAAAGTCTACTCATTAATTAGTTTATATAATTTATCTAGGGATTTATCTTTTTTTTTAAGTAAGTACTTATTTTACTAGGTTTATCTGAATTGTGGGAAGAGTGATCTACAAAAACATGCCGCAGGAAAGAAACATAAACAAAACGTTAAAACCATTCAAGCTTCACAACCAATAACAGATTTCCATGGAAACAGAAAATTAACTTCCCAATCCAGACAAGTCAAGGAAGCAGAAATTAAAATTGCAGCTGTATTCGCAGAACACAATTTAGCGTTTCAAATATCAGATCATCTAACAACTGTTTTAAAGAATAGTTTTACAGATTCTACTATTGCAAAAGAACTTACACTAAACAGAAAAAAATGTACGAATATTGTGAAAAAAGTAATTGCCAGAGTAGAGACTGAGGAAACCGTGAGCAATTTAAAAAATGTTAAATTCTCGATTTTAGTTGATGAATCTACAGATATTTGCGACATAAAATTTATGTGTACACTTGTTCGGTACGTTTCTCCAACAAATGGATCTATACGAACGGAGTTATTGGAGCTGATACCATTAAATGCGACTGATTGTTCAGCAGTTAAAATTTATGAAGCATTTAAACTATGTTTAAATCAGAAGGATATACCACTGAATAATATAACAGGCTTGGCATGTGATGGTGCTAATGTAATGGTGGGAAATCATAATTCTTTTTATTCCCACTTAAAGACTGACGTACCATCTGTGATACTCATGAAATGTATTTGCCATTCCGCTGCTATAATAGCCAGTAAAGCATGTGAACAATTACCAAGATCAACTGAAGAGCTGTTACGTGGTGTAGCAACCTATGTATCAGGTAGTGCCAAACGGTGTGCTCAATTATGCGAAATACAGGATTATTTTAATAAAGAAAGAAAAAAAATCCTTAAGTTAGCCAACACAAGATGGCTTTCTATGTACCAGTGTGTTTCAAGAGTACTGGAAACTTGGGATATATTATTACACTACTTTCAACTGGCTGTTTTTGAAGATAAGTTAAAGAGCGCAGAATTTATTCTGGGTGAGCTCCAAAATAGTTATACTAAGGCATATTTACTATTTTTGAAGTATGTTCTTAATTGTTTCAATTCATTCAATGCATTATTCCAATCAAGATCGATATTATTACATAAATTATCTTCTGCATCTGTACAGTTAATGAAAGAATTCTGCAGTAATTTTCTCAAGGTTGATGTTCTTAATCAAACACATTTATCTAAAATTGATGTGAAAAATCCTAACAACTTTTTATCAGTTAAAAATGTATTCTTAGGTCATGATTGTGAACATTTTATTAAGGACCTTCCCAGAAGTAATATTGACCAAATTAAATCAACATGTCTATCTTTTTATTGTACAGCAGCTTCAGAGATTAAATCAAGATTACCAATTGATAATCCATTGTATATAGAATTGCAATTCTTAGACCACACTCAAATATTGGATTCAAACAATGATTGGAATGATTTTGAATTTAAAATTTTATCAGAAAAATATAAAGATTTACTTCAATCTGAAAATTTACAATTTGAGTGGCGTAAACTTCGGGTTTCTTTTAGTGAAACAGAAAAATCTAAATTAATTTCTTACAAGATAGATGAATTCTGGCATTACATATCTAATCTTAAAGATTTTAAAGATGAACTAATGTTTCAAAATATATCAAAACTAGCTAAAATGTGTCTAACATTACCACATTCAAATGCAGAGGCAGAACGGATATTCTCTATAGTAACTGACGTCAAAACCAAGAAAAAGAATCGCCTTGGTAATGATACTTTAAATTCCATAGCTGTTGTACGGTCATCGTTTTCTTCAAAAAATATGGATTGTAGCAATTTCCAAGTAACCGAAAAACATTTTTCATTACACAATTCTCAAAATTTATATGAAAATTGATTATATATTATTAATTTGTTATTTTAAAATTATTTCCAATACTTATTATATATTGTATTTTTTTTTTGTAATTGTTAATCTTATTTAAGGATTTTAAGCTTTAGCCGAATACAACTGTGATGCAAAATGTTACAAGGTGCTATTATATAATTTTAATTCTAATTGTTATTTTAACTATTATGTTTTTAGATTGTTAATTTAATGATTTAAATCTATACCTTATACCCATGTTCCTATGAATATAAAACTGATACATAATGTTACAAGGTGCTAACTGTTAATAATAATAATGTTGATTTTGAATAACTTTTATTTTACATTCATAATATTATATAATCTTAATTGCAATTGTTATTTTAATTATTATTTTTTTTTATTGTTAATTTAAGGATTTAAATCTATACCTTATACCTAGGTTCCTATGAGTATAAAACTGATACATAATTTTACAAGTTGTTAACTGTTAATAATAAAAATATTAATTTTGAATTACTTTTATTTTGTTATGTAATAGGGCTCTACATTTGTTTATTAAAAACTGTTATTATATTTATTTGTTTAACTTGGGAAAGTTTGAAAGAGTATTAACATTTATCAATATGTATTCCATACTCAATGCTATCTACAAATATATTTCATCGGCTGAGGGCTGAGCAAATGCAAATATGCAATAAAACTATATTTCAAGTAGTAATGTAGTATAGAAATTGTATAGTTCTTTATCAATGGTTGTGTGGTGCTGGTTTTGGTTATGCTGAGCTATTTTAACAGTGCCGGCAGGAAGGTAGGTACCAACGCGTGAGAGTAGCTGCTCTGCAGACAGCAAGTGGCTTTGATATTATAAATTATAATTATTACAATAGAATATAATTTGTTAATTGTTGTAGTCCGTGATTAAAATGGATTAAGTATTAAGTAAGAAAAATATTTGTTTTCGAGACCCAAGCGAGTCTGAAAGAAAAATGTATGAAAACTGAAAAGGGAAATTTTGTTTAAAAAGGGAAATTTTGAATTGGTAGTTGGGAATTTTGAGTATAATCCCCTACCATCACTGCCTACATGCCACTAGCGCTCTTAAGATGTGGTGAAAATGTATACTAAACCCGTATCGCGTATTGACCGCAGCTGCCAATGCTATTTAGATAGACGATAGCTAACCTGTATATCTTTAACCGTGGTGTACACTCACTACAGTAAAGTACTGTAAATATGCTTCGATTTTCAACATTGAGTGTGGCGTCTGGTTTCAAATTGGATGTAGTTGGTACGTTTTTATTTTTAAGATTTTTCATTATTCACAACCAAAAACAAAGACAATAAATAATAATGAACAATAACAATAATAATAATAATAATAATACAGAAGGAATAACAAGTTTGAGATTGAAGATGGCAGGGTTTACCGATAGGACATCAAGCAGTCAGCTTGTCAAGCGCATCAGTATAACCAAGACGTACGATGCCAACAATAATTTTATTGAGCTTTATGATTTATTTTGATTTGTAAGTAATTACCTTTCTAAAGAGTATCTATGGTGTTTACTACATATTAATATGCTTAAACTATTATTTTTGTCGTTAACGTCATTAAAATATAAACCACAAGCGCCACCAAAATCCGTACTATGTATATCTGTTTACAATCTGGGTATTCCTGAAATACCTTTTTAAAATTAATAACTTTTTGAAACGTTGTGATGGACGGCTGAAATAATATGGTTATAACTCATAACACATATCAGCATTACTTGAAAATAGCTTCTTCAGTCTGACATTTTGAATTGTATTACGAAATTACTTAATACAGAGTAGTTTCATGTTAACTTTAGGTACTTCAGGACTTCAAGGTTTGTTTGATAGGTATAGTTAATTTATATAATAAAGTATAGTATTATATTATTTTATTCTTAAAAGTTAAAACAACAGTTTTGGTAGTTCTCTGGAATCTGTTATTGTAATCGTTATCATTATTTTAATATTGAATTTTTCATTTTTTTGATTCGACCATAATCAAATATTGATCAGTATTTATATTTCTTGCACTAACTATTTGATGATAAGCACACGTTTTCAATAACCAATAAACGTCAATGGCTATAATTTAAGTAACATATTAGAAGATTTGTAGTAAATATGGCATCGATTATTATTAGGTGTAAACTTACAAAAACAAATCACACTCCACATAAAGAAGCATAGTCGAGGTACATAAAAACTCTCTAACTCATTTACGATACTAAAAACAAAATTTAAAACATATTAGGTAATGTATGATATACCTTATATAATAAATAAACATTAAAATATATTTTCAAATGTAATAACATATTATCTTAATCCTGGAGTCAAAAGTCTAGACAGCTAGTACCACTGTTTTTATATAGTTAGAAAATATTCACAACAACATTTTAAAATATGCAATATTCTTAAACCAATTTGAAAATAGGTACGATGTGTGTTCTATATAAGTACCGAATAACAGTGTATTTGAATTTTAATGTCAACCAGTGACTCAAATATTGAAGTTGGTGACCCCAAAGCATCGTCATTTTTGTGAGGTTTATACTTTACATAGGTAGTACGTATATAATGTATTGGACAATTTGAAATTTAATGTTGAAAAGTGTAACATTGTACACCAAAACCGACCTTTTGCTTTACTTTATATAGATAAGTGAATATTAGAATATCGTGATTTTTAGACTGACTTATTTTGAGATATGAATAAAGTATATTTGAATATTTAATATGAGCCTAAATTATGTTTCAACATACAATATAAATATATAAATATAAAATAACTTGCTCTGACTGATTCATCGTCGCTCAGTCGGAACCGAGAAGCTATAAGTATGAAATTTGGTCAGTAGTTTTTAAAATTAATTTTTGTTATTTAATAAGTTTTAAAATAAAATAAATAAATTGTATTTTTTTCTGTTTCATTTCCAATGATCTCATTAAACTCCTCTAATTTGGTCTCGGGATTATTCATTTATTTACCCAATTGACTTTATTAATTTTAGTCATTAGAAACCCGATACCCTATTTTCAAACACTTCACATAATGTTCCATTTTGCCCACTGTTAACAGCCTTGGTACTAATTTTTCGGACACCTTTTTAAATTGATAAATATGAAGAACAAGAACCAAATGATATTCCAAATTCTTAGCTACTTCTCTGACAGTCAATCTCGTGATGTTGAATGTTTTCAAATGAAAATCTGGCCTTCTTCTTAATCTTCGGAATCAGTCATTAGTTATATACTTATATATAACGACATAAAGCATTTTAGGTGTCCTTAAAAGCTCACATTATCAATTATCCCCTAAGTTTTTTTTGTAAGAATTTTAGTCTTTGTATTTATTGATAAATATACATTATATATTATTTCATACAATGTATGAATGTCATGATTATTTCGCTTGTAAAAATCAAATTTAAAAAAAACAGTTTGGACTTTGTTAAAATATAACAGGTGCTAAAAATAAAAATATGCAATATATGGTAAATGGTCAGAAAATATGACGATCTACATGACCTCGACAAAACAGCAATTTCTCTGCAAAAAAAATAGTTTCAAGTTTCTTTAAAGTATTAAAGTAGGTACTGTAATAAATGGCAGGTATAGACGTACAGCACATAGCTGTATCATATATTATACTAGAGGTACCGTACATATTGATCACATGGACATCATTGACATCGGTATTTAAAATAGCACGTGGGTATACGTCAAATGTATCATCATGTAACAATATTTATATTTATAATTTAATAAAATTAAATCTGAATACAATTTTAAAAATTTGTTTTTTAATAAAATATTGTTATTTGTGCACGGTACATTTTATGATGGTAACCGCAGGAACCATAGGTACATAATATATAAAATATTTAGTTTCACTTTAAATGACCAAAATAAACCACCCCTGAAGGCACTGACGGTATACCTACGCATTAGAATATTAAATTAAACTCACGCAATAAGTAATTTGTGTAATCCAATGATAATCACAAACATATGTATGTATAAACCGTACGTCCAAAATAGTATGTGTCTAATTGTCTTACATAAATTAAATATTGGTCCATATTCTTGGTTTTCATTCGTGCTTTCTAAGTGCTTGAATATATACAATGAAATAAATTAGAAATAAAATGATGCTCACAAACCTAATAATTTATTTGTGCGTAGAGAACTAGGTAGGTAACTAAATGATTAACTAAAAATAATATTATATAATATTGTAATATTTTACTCACTTCATCATATAAGAACAAACAGTTCAATAAATTAATAATAAACAAATATATCAACAAATTCAGTAATATATAAAAACCAGGATCTATATTTTAAATGTAAATAAAAGTAAATTAATGTTCTGTATCTACCTACATCATATAAATATTTTGTAAATATATTATTCATTTTTTTAAAACTAATTTATTATATTACCTCTTAAATCACTCGGCCATGGATTAGTAGAAATAATCCAAAATAACATAATAATACCATGGCACTAAACATAAAATAAAATAAATGAAAATCAATTTTAAGTGGTCTTAAATTATAACAATTTAAAAATGTTTAAACTTGGAAAAAAAATTTAAGTATCGTAAAAACACAATTAATGTTAAATAATAGGTCATATCTTTTATATCTTAAGCCAGCGTTTCTCAACCAGGGATCGCGACCAGAAAACACCTTGCCTTGGGGTCGCGTAGGTCAAAAATAATAAAACGCTGATTTACAAAATGTACCCTTTTATTTAAATATTTAAGGCTTTTAATTGAAAAACAAAAATTAGAATAATAATAATAAAATTATTCCGATAAGGATATACATAGATATGGTATTTATAAATTGATATTTAAAATGTTATATTTCGTTTGGTTAATGATAGGATTTTTATTGTTCAAATTTTTACCTAATATAAATGGAGGGGGGGTCGAGAAGTGATTGACCATATTTTATACCTATTTTGGAGGTCGTGACACTAAAAAGGTTGAAAAACGATGTCTTGAGCTAACAATAAAAGGTGTCGGCACCGATGCGGTTGGCATCTTTTGCGTGCCATTTGCGGTCAATTTATTTCTATCTACCGGACTATACAATTTGGGTGCTATATATAATATTCTATATACTATATACTGAATTTATGTTAATAGGTAGCTATAATACTTTTTTGCTATAATTGAAATTATACTACTGATTATTACTATACTTGTCAAATATATTATATTTAAACTTCCCTTCACACTTTTCCAGGCTTAGGACTGGCAGTATTTTTTACAATCCAGTATAAATAAATATCACGGCCAACACATTTTCATACTATGGCGTGTAAGTAGATGAATTGTGATTGACAAAAATATTATTATTATGTGCATTTTTTATAATAATTATAATAAGGTTTTAAAAAAAATAGGGTATGTTTTTCATGTAAGTACAGTAAATTGTGATTGACAAGTATATGATTATATCAATTATAGTAAAAAAGTATTATATTATAGCTACCTATTAACATAAATTAATTATATAGTATATAAAATATTATATATAGCACCCGAACTTTATAGTCAGGTAGATAGAAATAAATTGACCGCAAATGGCACGCAAAAGGTGCCGACCGCAAATGTCCCGGAACCCAATAAAATACCACACAAAACGCATAACCCACCAAATACCGCACGCAAAAGAAGTATGACAGGTACCTCACAAATGTATCAAAACAGATAAAAATGGAAATACACAACTAATATTCCATAGAATTAGTTTTAAATTCCGTATTTTAATATTACTTCTACTTTAATAATGTAAATATAAACATTTATATTATGATATAATATAATAAATATAATTTAAAAAGCGGGTGAGTGGATGTGGCTCTTCTGTGCAGTTGGTTATAATTGGGCCACCGTAATATAGTGTTAAGCCGTGGTTTCCTACAACCACGCATCCGTGATTGCGTGGTGCGCGATGCGCTATTGCGCGATCACACTTGCGCGATGCGTGATGCGTATTGCGTGATGGTGTTTTGCTACACAGTGCGTGATTATGAATGCGTGAATGCATGATGAAAATATTTGTCAGTTGGTGCACAGTTATTCGCCAAAATGGACGTGTTGACGCTTTATAATATTTTAGAAGACGAAGCTGACGAAGAACTGTTGCTACTTGCAAATTATTTCAGGGATGAAGAGGACGAAATGTTTACTGAACGGAGTAGAGAAGGATGTTATAATATTTTAGTTGAAAGACGCCTTATCGATAACGAATACAGATTTCGTGCATATTTTAGGGTATCATTTGAACTATTCAATTATATATTAGATTATATTAAAGACGATATAAGAAGACATCCAAGCAACAGAGTTAAAAGACCAATATCACCGGAGGAAAAACTCGCTCTCACTCTAAGGTAAGTTAATTATGGTATTATAATTATAGTATATTCAGCAATTTAGATTTAAAAAAAAATAGCATATATCATGTTAGTTTTTAACGAACAAGTACATAATTTAATTTATTTAAATATAATTATGATTTGAAAAAAAGTTATTGTTGGACATATTACATAAATACTAAAAATGGTTTAAATAACAATATATTTAAATGTAGAAATATATAGGTACATCATATTATAACACCGGTATTACATTTTACACGAACAAAATGTATAGATCTATAGTTATACATTTTAATTATTTAAGTATAGTAACTTTACTAAAATGTTACAAAAAATTGCTGTCCTGAAATTTTAGATATTTGTAATGTTATAAACAAACTACATGTTTTACCTTAAATACAAAAAAAAAAAAAAAGAATACCGTAACATGGGGTAACTTTGTACCATTTTTCAGCATTTTTAAACTTTAGGGCTAATTTTAGGTAGGTTGCACTTAAAAAAAAAAAAAAAAAAAATACGTACATAATTGTGTGTGCTTAGACATGCCTTCTGTGATATCTAATTTTAATTTTTTTCGTTTTTTAACTTTAAAAAATCTATTCAAAAATTTGGGCCAATGTTACCCGGCAATGGGGTAACTTTAACTCACCTCCAATATCTTTATATATCTGCCCTCCCTGCTTCTTTGGGCCAAAGTTAGGCTATGTCAAATTAATCAGCAAGTTTCTAGAAAGCAATTAAACCAATTTTGGGGGTAAAACAAGCGAAAATAACGAATAAAACAGCCAGTTTAAGGAAATTAATTTTTTTATTACACCTTAAATACATATATGTATTAAATAATAAAAAAAAAAATACTAAATGTATGTTTTAATTACAGAAGTTAAATAATATAATAATATAACATATTACACATAGTCATTTAATTCTGGTACAATAAAAAAATTGCGTTTGCGCAAAAGCGGCGGATTTATTTTTGCTATGACGTCGTGCCACTCATAGTCAATGCAGTCTTTCTTCGCGGGCCACCTCCACTGCTTTGAAAGCTTCTCCATACAGTCCACAGTTGGGCCTTCATTGGACATTTTTGTGATACGACCGGTCCATATAATCATTTATATCGTCAGTTGTGATGTTCGCACGACTTTTTTTAATATTTGCACTGACTTTCAACGATAAATCTTTATTTCTTTTTAAGAACCCGCGAATCCAGTCATCACCCGGAATATTGTTAGTAAATTGAGAAACTCGAACTCCCTTACAATCTAAGTAACGAGTTACACACATCTTAAGGTCCGAAGGGATTAATGGGAAACCAAAATCGGCAAGTTTCATGCAATGCTGTGCGAAGCTAGCTTCCACGGCGGGAGTAAATGCTGTGGGATGCCCAACACTATTACTGTGCAATACTTTTAGTTTATTCTTTATGGTTGACCTAGGTATCTTGTAGTGTTCGGAAGCTTTACGTTGTGTCATTTGTTTGGACTTTATAGCTCTTAGACATGCCTGTAACGTTGCCGGCGTATAGTTTGCATACGCCCTCGTACCTAGCGATCTTTTTGGATTACGCGGCATCGTTTACTGTTAAGCAAAATAGACAAGACAGATGAGACACTATGTAAACTAAGTAGGCAGGTATAACTTAAGTGCCTAAAATGACTAATTATACCATAAACATGACAAAAAATGTAAAAAAAAAAAATCATATTTTAGCTATCACTATCAAATAATAGCGGGACAAAGTTACCCCAAGCTACAAAATGTAAGTTTACAAAAACACATTTGGTTTTTTTTTAAATTTTAAGATTTATTCTTTATTAGTACTATATGTATGAGATAATATCAGACTTACCGAAAAAAAAGACGATTCTTTAACTTCAAATCAAACAAAAGTTTTGAGACGTGGTTTTTTTCCGTTGAAAACACGTGAATACAAACAAATTTTTTTTGATAGCAACACGAGTGATAACGATAAAAACTGTTATCACATTCGGTTACCAGTGTTGTATACTATCGAAAACCACTACAACACATTGATAATAGTCACATGTCTTATCACAACACACAGAAGTATTCAAAATTCCAACGGTGGGCCAAAGTTACCACCCAGAGACAAAGTTACCCCATGTTACGGTACAAATATTTCTTAAAATAAATTAAAAACATAACAACCCTTTTAAAATGTGTTTGCAAAATAAAACAAAATATAAAAATAAAAACACCTTGGTTTAATAATTGTAAAAAAAAATTAATAATCATTATTATAATATTGTAAAAAAGCATAACTGGAGTTTGCAGCTGCGGTAGGGCACGAAACACTGCTTGTTGCAGAAGTTGAAGAACTTGAAGAATCTTCTTCAACAAATATTGTCGGAACTATCTGTTTTGATGGAATAGGCGATACCGGTACAATTGATTCTACGGAAGTTGTATTCGAAGCCTTTGCCTTTAGTGCGCGTAATTCTAATTCGGAAATAATACTAAAAACCTTTGTTTTTGCTTCTACGGCCAATTCTGGGGGAAATGTTGCAACTGTCGAAGCCATGCTTTTAAAAAAAATTTGAATTGGATCATTACATAATTCGCCTTGTCTCATCTCTTTTAACACCGCCAAACGCTCCTCTCACCCTTTCTTGATTTCCTCAATTATCTTATCCTTTGTTCCAATTTTTTTTGGTTTTTCATACGGTTTTCGAAACCTATCTGTCAAACTATCACGTATTTCATTTTCCAGTGGTTGATCGACTATCGAACTATATGTCTCTGATGAAACTTGACCAGAATTATTAGATAAACACTTTTCTTCTGACTCTGCAGTTTGATTAAAACTTTCATTTTCCATAACCTCTGAATAATTTACGTTTTCATTGTAGGCAATGTTCGACTTAGTTCTAAAAATAATTTTATAAATTATAAGATATTTGCATTTTAAGCAGTAATATAAAAAAAGCTGGTCGGGGTAGTAGCAATTTTGCATTTTGGGTAGAGGTTTAAGATTCTTAGTGAAATGAAGAAATTATTGGATCTACAATTGTGTGTGTTTTTTTTCAAATCTCAATATACACTTACTAGTTACTACAAAGTATAAATTTAAATTTTAAATTCATAATTTTCATCATTAATATTATGTAAGTTCTAAAATCAATTTGTGTTAATTTATAAAAAATAATCAAATTCAGAATTTATTGAAATATATTCTTGTGGTAATTATAAATTATTTTTAAAGTAATACCATTTTATGTGTTTGTTTTAATATATTTAATAAAAATAAAAAATATACAAAAATATGGATAAAAAGTAAAAATTAATAGACTTTACTACTCATTGTAATATTTACTATTTAGTTAAAAAAAAATATGTTTATACAACAATAAATCTAAAAAAAAAAAATGTAATCTCAGAATTTCATGAAATTTTGATTAAAAATTTTAATATACGAGTATAAAATATGTACATAATATATAACGTATAAAGTAGCTTAATAATAATAATAATAATAATTCGTTTTTACCTTCTTTCATCTTCAATGTTGTTTAAGAAACTTAATGCATCATCGTTATACTTTGATTTTGTCGGAGCTGCTGAACCAGTACCTAATTTACATTTTTTCATATTTTTTTTGTATGAATCTCTTATCGTACGCCAACGTGTTTTGCAGTCGTTTACTAAAAATAATTTAAATGTAAGTAATTACATTTTACAGATTCTTAGCAACCGGAGAGAGTTACAGATCTCTTTCATTTCAGTTCAGAATATCGCACAGCTGGATAAGTACTATTATAAAGGAAGTACTTGAAGCTATTTGTAACCGATTGAAAAACATAACAATGCCAGAACCTACCGAACATAGCTTAAAAAAAATATCCAATGATTTCTATGAAATGTGGAATTTTCCGAATTGCTGCGGCGCTATTGACGGGAAACACATAAGGATAGTTTGACCTGATAGCTCTGGATCACTGTATTTTAATTTTAAATCATTTTTTTCCGTTGTTCTATTGGCTGTAGTTGATGCGAATAACAAGTTTATAGTGGTCGACATAGGGTCATATGGAAAAGAAGGAGATGCAGGAATTTTCCCTAAATCAAATTTGGGAAAATTGATTTCAACAGGAAAATTTAAATTTCCAGACCCAGAGTGCTTAACAAATACTGATATAGTCGTGCCTCATGTATTTGTTGGTGATGAGGCGTTTAAATTAACGGAAACAATGATGAGGCCCTACCCTCGAAATCAATCAAAAACAGATCAAACGAAAGCCATTTTTAATTATCGTTTAAGTCGAGCGCGAAGAACAACGGAAAATACGTTTGGAATTATGTGTCAAAATTTTCGAGTATTTTTTACTCCAATTAATATTCTTCCTGAGACAGTAGACAACTTAATAATGGCCTCGTGTATTATCCATAATCTATTACGAGATGAACGAATTGTGTGTCCTACAGATTCAACAGAAAAAGATCCCATAACGGACGTACAAACGAACATGGTACAATTAAGCGCAACAGGGGGAAATGCAACACATGAAGCTTTTCGAGTCAGGGAAACTTTTAAAGATTAATTTTAACAGCAGGATAGGATCAGTGAGCTGGCAGCAAAAACACGTCACACGAACTAATTGAAATAATATTATTGTATACATTGGGCTATTTTCAAAAGTATTTTCTTTAATTTCAATTGTGTTTTCTTTTATTTGGTTATTTTAGAATAAAGTAGAATAAGTATTTATTTTTTATTGTATTCTCTTATAATATTATTTAATTTAAAAATAAACTACATATTTTGAATTTCCCTTATATTATTTAAAAAAGCATTATAACATATATATATAGATGTTTGTTTATTTTTATTTTTGATTGTGCACAACCTCGCTGGCTCACTAAAAACCCATAAGTCGCCATATAATATTAATAATATGAGATTTCTATAATTATAAATTGGATTGTTGACACAAAAATCCGAACGACAAACGAACGAATGAATGCTACCAAATGTAAATTTGATACAATTATAATAATAAATATTTAAACCAATGATTTTATAATAAAATTAAAAGTTAATAATAATAAAAAAAATGATTGTTTTCAAACGTGTCACCTTTTTAATTTTTGAATTAACTTAACTAAAAACTAAAAAACTAAAGTAGAGCAAAAACAACAGTTTAATTATATTGGCTATTAATTGTTATAATAATCTCCATCCAATAATACATACCATTTTTTCCTACGAAGTGTGAAATTTCTTTCCAGGAGTTCTCTTTGACGGAATTATCCTTATAATTTTTGTCGCTTAATTTGTACAAAACAGGATAATTTCGGACACATTCAATCAACTTTTCATCATCTACAGAGTTAAATGATTTTGATTCCATAGTTTTTTTGAAAAGGAAATAATCTGGAAGGAATGATCTAAAATATTTATTGTCAATGAATAAAGCATGTTTTAAATGAAATGTATGAAATTGATACTTACCTACTAATTAATGATTTGAGTAATATAATATGCAGTTATTATAAGCAATAAATATTTAAATACAATTTATATTATATAGTAAATAATAATAAAATAATATATTATAATATTATAGAAGCTTGGGATAAAATATTTTTATTTTATTCGTCCTCCGCTGCGTGACACGCAAATGTATGCTCTAGTAGCGACTGTTGCGTGATTGACGTGCGTGAATCGACAATCGCGCGCGCGAATATTCACGCGCGTGAATTATTAATAAACACTTACATGGTTTTTCATGGTTTCAACTTTTGCGCGATCACGCATCACGCATCGCGCACCACGCAATCACGGATGCGTGGTTGTAGGAAACCACGGCTTTAAAGTTTTCGTTTTTTTACATTTTAGCCTTGAAAAATTGATGTCGCGTGTGTCCGAGGGTACGGGTGTAACGATGAATACTTACATTTACCACAACTACGCAGCACCGTTACCAACCTTGGACACCCTTCCCGCCACCGCCGCGAGCCACCTTCGGGCAACAGTCAAAAATTAAAGAAACGTAAGTAGATAGGAACATTTAAATGTTTACCAATAAAATTAAAACTATTGCCTACATCGTGTTTCAGGATGCTACCGGTGCCAGAGCCAGGGGCACCTGGTCGGGGATTGCCGCGGTGAGTGTTTACGCAATATATTTATACTGAATAAAAATATTATTTAGTTTTGTTGTGTTAATAGCCCCCAATACAGCTAGACGGCTGAATCAGCGGGATCGGTCGCCGCGCCGTTGGGTGCAGCGGGATCGATCGCCGCTGGCCATTCGGCCACCGCGTAGTCCGGCGTCGCGGCACCCGGCAAGAATACCGCCACCACCGGCCACGGACGATGTGAGTAACGCACATTAAAAATAATAATAATGATCCTTATAACATCCTAATCCTACATGAATTGTAGGACATGGAAGAGAGTCCTCCCCACCCCCGATACGGGTTATGGATGGACCATTGTAAGTTGTCAATTAGATAATTTTTTTTAATATATACCATATTTCATTCATTTATTGTTTTTCAATTGAGATTTTCTAATTTTATGAATTATTTATAAATTGCAGACGTTGGATGAGTCATGCGTGACGGCGGCGGAAGGACCATTGTAAGTTGTCAACTGGAAAATTTATTTTAATATCATTATAACAATATATCTAATTTATTTAATGTTTTTAAGCTGAATAAAAATTTTTTTTTCAAATATGTGTTTTTTTTTTTGATGCCTTAACACTCCAACAGTCATGGTTTACTTATTATGTATCCATACTATGTTTTCTAAAATAGTTTATGTCAGTTTTAGATATGTACAATAATAATCGGCAGTGAAATACAAACAAAATATTGTATGACATACTGTATGCGTACAAAAAGNGGTTTTTCATGGTTTCAACTTTTGCGCGATCACGCATCACGCATCGCGCACCACGCAATCACGGATGCGTGGTTGTAGGAAACCACGGCTTTAAATTTGAATTCAATGAAATAAAATCATTGTGTACCATAAAAAATTCTGTGCAATGACCGTCTGTCAGAGTAAATATTACTTCATAACTTAGTATATTATGTAATTATAAAAGTTGATTAAAGTTATTTATTTTATATTAAGAATTATTACAACAGTAAATTCAATTTTAAAAAAATTATATAAGAAAAGTCATTGTGTGTATAAAATATAATAATATACTCTAATATCTTCAAGTATCTACCCATGCATATTATTTTTAAATTAAGTACAACAAAATAACTATAAAAAAAACTAATAAAACTAAAAAAATGTATAAAGTTTTTGGATACAGAACTAACTATTTTTGTATGACATTTTTTACAATTTTTTTATATTTAGCTATAAAGATTTATCATTTTATAAATATTTAACGATAAATTAATTTGTAAATTATCGATTTTCATAGATGTTCTCATTTTGGGCTTAAAAATGCTTACATTACAAAATCGTGCCTATGTATTTAAATTTTTTTTCAACTTCTATTGTAAACAGTTATCAGGATAATTGTATTAAATTGTCAAGTTTCTGAGACAACAAATAAAATTGTATTGAATTTATAGAATGAAAAACTAAAAAAATGAAATTTTAAAATATCTAGAAATAACTCAAAACGAGTCAAAATATTTCGAAAATTGAATAATTTAAAGTAAATGGTAAAATAAACATTTGATGAACATTTCAACTGCCTTCGTTTATAATTTATTGAAAAACAACAAAATTAGAAAATATGTTTAATTTCACTGGTGAATATTCAAATCTAATTTCAAACTCTTGTACAAATTAATTTGAAATTCCAGTATACTTTTTTTTTTGTTTAAGTTAAACCAATTTAAGAGGAATCGTATTACATTTTCAAGTATTTTGAACGAATTTCAAACTTTTATCGACATCATTTTAAAAAATAAACTAATAATAATCGAACATTTAATATATGTGTGGTTTTGATGTAGGCGGATTTCGCCAATTCGTGGAATAATGATCGACCCCTGATTGATTCTGCTGAACATAAATTCGTTATTTTTATGCCAGAGAAAAAAGAGAATAGTGAGCTGACATAAAATATCAATAATATTAAATTATTTTCAAATGTAAGGAAACGTACCAATGTAATTATTGAATTAATGCGAATCTTCTTTCTTACAGTAGGTAACGTACATGATTTCTTTTTAACTATATCATAGTAGCCCATTTCTATTTACTTTATTGTAATTTGATAAAAATAATCTTTGTGAATTGTTATTAAAAATAAAAGGGTACCTATAGAAACGTCTACATATAAATATATGATGACGAAAAAATAACTATCAATAAGTATTTGTGTAAAGTTATGAGTAACTGTGTAACACTGTACGAGTCAAAATATTTTGAAAATTGTATCATGTATTTACATTGGTCATTTTTAAATTTCTAAAATAGTAACTTAATAATTTACTTTTGCAGTACACAATACAAATTATGTTAATTATGTTACAATAATTATTTATCATTGTTAGTAATGACATAATATCCTCTTTAGTGACGTTGTTTTGGGTGAAATGATTGTTCGAATTTGGCTTGGGGAAGTGTTGGAGGCCTTTGTAAATGTGGCATCCGTTGTAGTTTGCTGGGTGGTCATCTTCGCACAGGCCACATTTGGCAGATGACTCGTTTGATTTGTTGCAGTTGGAGGAAGGGTGGTGACTAACCTAACGGACACGTCTGAGAGAGTATGAGCAGTATTTCCTTGTGTGTCCATATTCCTAACAATTATGAAACTGGATGACATCTTTCCACTTGTGTGGTTCCTCAATTTTCATTTTAGTGCGGAATAATTACGTTACTCCAAAAATGTCATTATTAATTTCGGCTGGCTCCAGGTTAACAAAGAAAATAGGAAGTTTATTTTTGGTGGGTTTTTGCAGAACGTTGGAAAGTTGCCGATTTCTTCGATTTCTATTAAGACTTCAACTAATGGAGTGGACTGATGAGGGTTTCGGATCACTACTTGAAGGCCTTTTCCTCCTGAGGTTGGTACTGAGCTTCTCTATCTTTTAGAAAATGGATTAATTCACAATAATACTTAGGATCTGATGTTTGGATTTTTAAACCGTTTGTAGATGATTTGCAAGTGAATGTGTCGTTACCGATTGGCTTAATTAGTTTATTGCGCACTTCAACGAAGTCAAGGATGCCACAGACATAGATTGGGGGTGGAAGTTTTCTTTTATAATTTTAGCCATCGGATGGAGTTAAATTGTAGTGGGGAGTAGGATTGTTTTGGGTGTTTCCCATCACA